GGGGGGGGGGGGGGAATCGTTACTTCAAGCGGAAGTCAAGGGTGTCAGATTGTATCGAACGTACCTAGAGCGTAGGGGCTTGCTCTTGCCGCCGGCCTGCCTGGAATGCGGCCTCGTGTTCGGTTGCGATAGCTCGCTGTCGCTGCTCGCTAAGGAGGATCTCGCCGCCACGGCCCCGTGAGCAAAATCTTTCCTATTAGGTAACACGCCGGGATTATTCGCCATTAGCGGTTTCGTCTCGCAATCTCGCGGACTGTTGTACACGGGCAGCCTTAACATGGCACCGAGCACGTGAGTGAAAGTGAATTCAGAGACTCCCCGGAATGACGCCTCGTATGTACGTACCAATGTACGTACGTAATGCGCGGCGGAGGAGACCTTTACCCTTCTTGAACCCTTTTGCATAGCCTACATACCTCATCGTGCTCGCTTCCCGCTTTCTTTTCGATCAAGCATCGCGTTATAGTCCGTGTAAGTGGAAATAAGCTACAAACGCGTGCGTGCGTAGAAACGTATCGATTGTTTCCTCTGCTTTACAACGGAGAGTGACGAACTTTAAATAATGTATTTCTCTCAATTCATTATACACTTTCTTCTAATGAGACTCATTGCAAGTATAAATATATTTACATCATCGCGTGAAATATTTTTCTTTAGAAGAATAAAAGAATATGAGAAACGTAAGGCAAGAAATAAATAAATCAAAGATATTTAAAATCTACAAATTATTTCGGGTATGTTAATTCTCGATGTGTTAATTTAACGAGAACTTGTAAATTTCGTGCTCACCTGTAATTATCGGACCTGGGCGTGGAGCTCAGATTCGCGGCTTTGCTGGGATTCGCGTCCACAAAGACAGGTGAGCTTTTGGGGATGTCGCAAACCACCTTGGGATGCACCGTGGTCTGCTTGTATTCCAGGTGCGACGACGATTCCGGTGCCCAGTCGTAGTACTTTGGCCGATAATCTTTGTATTCTCTCTGCTGCGGCTGCTGATGGTGTTGATGCTGGTGCTGCCTGGAGTCCGCACTCGGGGCTCTTTTGCGCAGGTACTCGTCGCTGCTGACGCTGCTCTTCCGTATGGTGGTCAATTTCGCTGGTGGCACCGACGTTGGTGACGACGCGGACGAGGACGGCGCACCATCGGGATCCGCGCGAGACAACTGCGAGCTGTCCCACACGGTGGGCAGGCTGCTGCAATTTGAACAAGTCGTCGATAACAAGTCGCCCTCGAAAGTAACGAATTAAAGCAACGAACTAAAATAATTCCTTTGGAAACAACTTCTAATTATCACAAAAGTATAATTAAAAATCAGAACCTCGATCATAATATTCTAAACACACCTTAGTCCGCAGATAAATAGACGTGAATTTCTTTGGACGAGTAATTCAACACGTCTACAGATATTTGAAAATCTTTTAGAATCAAATTGCTTCATGATTTGTTAATCCTCATATTTCGTAGTTACAAAAGTTAGGTAGGTTAAAGTATGTTATTGTATGCGACTCACGAAAGAATGCACGGTGCTTGACGAATCGTCTAATGCGCGACTAACAACATGTTAAGAGCGTTTGCATTGCAATATCTTTCAGGAATATCCGCGCGAGAATAAATCCGCTGGACTCACCTGAGGTTCTCGTCCATGCTGTACAAGCGAAGCTGCTGCCTGATGTTCGCCTTCTCCCTGGCTCGTTTCCGCTGGAACTCCTCCTCCACTTTACGCATCGCCTCCAGCTCGCCTTTCCTCTGCCTCTCCTTGGCTTCGGCCTCGCGCGATAGCTTCTCCGCTAATCTGCGCCTCTCGATCTGCCTCACGGTGCTCTGGAACGTGAACCTGCGACCCTTCGAGTTGCTCTTCAACGGCAGTTTCACCTCCGGCGCAATCTCCTTGTCGTCCTGCAGGTTCTGCTGGCCGCCGATGGGCGGCGAGCTGCTCCGTTGCTTCATCTCCGAGGAGATGTTCTCGCACGACTTGGAGAACTTGTTGCTCATCTTGCCGTCGCTCGCAAATGGCTTGTCCTTCAGTACGGTCGAGTCTTTGGAGTACTTGTTCGTCCTTTCCACATCTTTGCCAGGCTTCCTGAATTCATCCACGCCATTCTTGCGATATTTCGGCCCGCCATTGTTGGCGGAGTTCTTCTCGTTGTCCGTCATCACGTTGCTCCTGCAATTCAAGCTCTGCGTCTGGTACTGCGAGTCGTTGGACTCGGGAAGGTACATAACGTGACCACCTGAGGCTAAATAAGAGAAGGAGGGCGGCTTCATGATAACGGGGAAGTCACCGCGGTCCTCAAGATCCACTTCCAGATCTTCATCGTCATCGTCCTCGTCGTCGAAGCTGGGTTTCCAGCCGGGCGGTGAGGATCGCGTCGCGTCCGTGATTTGGGTGTGTTGCAGCGACGTCGGAGCGCTCGTCGACAACAGCCAGTTGTCGTCGAGGACGTCGCGCGTGCGCTTCCTCTCGAGGTCGAGCGGTCCGAGTCCCAGAGCACCTGACACCGACCTCTTCAGCTTCTGCAGCGAGTTGAACGTCGAGCCCTCTTTGCCCTTCGCATCTGGATTGTACAGGTACATGCGGTTGTCGTCGCGCGGCAACGACAACGAGAATACGTGCGCCCTAGGCGGAAATTTTACTGGAGTCGGCATGGGCGGTGGTGAATCCACCCCGGCGTCGCTGCTCGACTCCTCACCCAAGTCCTGCTGCGGAGTCCACGTCGGCCTCGTCGCCGGTGTCTTCAGTCTGTTGGTAGTGCTCACGTCCAGAGAGTCGTCATTAGCCGCGCCAGCGTCACCGGATATTCCAGAGTCGCCCGACTTGTCATGCGAGCTTCGTGGACCGAGAGCGATCAGCGGCGGGGGTGGCCTCGACAGACGTTCGATGCGCTCCTCGAACATCACCTGACAGCAAACGTGTTTCTTAACACGTTTAATATCATGGTGGTCATCGGTAACCATTATGATATATTGCCGCGTCTCATTAAGTCGCGCATAAGATATAATCTCTTTTCTCCCTTTGTTATTTTGTTTGGCGCAATTCTGCATAGTTTCCAGCAGACGTTATAAATATTATATGTAAGACGCATTGTTATAAACGTGTATTTAGATATAGCAAACCAATTAGATATCATAAATAAAAAAGAAACAAATTCCCGTAAACAGCATTGCGCAAATGAACCAATCAATGCATTTTTCGATCTTCAAAGATCGAAAAGATACTCTTCGCGCACTTACCGGGATTTCCTCGCTCGCTGTGCTCATGGTTGGTCCAGGTGCCTCCAGCGCCGACAACAATCTCCACGCTGCCGACGGTGAAAATCGCGGGATCTCCAGTTGCTTCTTCGGCAGCGTGGGTCGCAATTTCAACGAGATATCCTCCATGCCGCTTTTCCCCTAAAAATCGCGAGTATTCCCTCCAGCGAAACCAGGACTTTGCTTTCATTCTTTCCTTCCTGTTTTCTCTCGAACGAGTCGCAGCCGAGCGACAGTACTTTCATTATCGCTCCGAGCGAATTTTTACTCTTTTCGCGTGAGATATCCGATACATTGATTAACAAAAATATAAATAAAAAAAGAAAGAAAAGGAACATATTACTCACATCATCCGTGTAATCAAGCATGCATTCGTTCGATCCGTTAATTTCTCTGGCTTGCAACCTAGCTTGAATCTGCTCCATCTGCTGGTCCACGCAATTCCGCGGCTCGTTCGACAGTGCGTCGTCCATACCGAAGTAGAAGGTCTTCGGCGCGGACTTCTCCGATGATGGCAATCTGGGGAACGATCGAGAACGACATCTCAGACTCTGACGCGGTGATTAGCAGACGAACGGGCGAGCGAGCGCGCTAATTACTCATGTCGCTTATCGTCGTCGCGACGCGCCGTCGTCGAGGCGAAGGGTAATCGCTTACCCGCAACCCGCGACGCACGCATCCACCGCTCATTGATAAGGCGAGATAATTAACAGAATCGCGCATCCGCTCGCACGTGAGATAACAAATCGACCCGCGAAGAAAGACGAAGGGAGCGACTTACACGTGCCAATTTTTCTCGCGCGCTTCCTTGGCTTCTGCCTTCCTCGCAAGCTTCTCTTTGGATTTTGCGTCCCTCTTCTCCGTCGCGGGAACTGGTTCGGGCCACCTCCTCTCGTCCGCCGCGCCATCAGTATTCCTAGCGTCGCTCTTCCGCCATCTACGATCTGAATTCTCCTTTTCTCTCTCTTTGGCCTCCGTGCGCTCGGGCGTGCTCTCCCTACCGGAACCTTGGCCGCGAGGATCCGAGGAGGAGGATACCCTGTCCCTGCCGGAGACCTTGATCGCCGGGCTCTCTGATCTGCTTCTTCCCGGATCCATCGTCTGCTCGTACTTCCGAGTCCTTGCCACGCTCTTCGCCCGCTGATAGTCCTCCATGAGCTCCCGCCGCCCTTTCTCCGACGGGAAGGACCTCTCGCCGACCGCGGGATGTCTCGCAGCGTCCAAGTGATCCTTCGCGCCTTTTCGTTCCCGCGGGTTATCCCGGTGCAGCGGCGCGGACGACTCCTCAAGCGTCGTCGATTTCTCAACTAGTCGTCTCTTACCGCCCGAGCCCGTTTCCGCTTGCCTCTCCTCCAGGTAATCCTTGGTAATCCTCGCGGGATGGTCACGCGTGTTGCCCTTGCGCTCTTCGTAAATGCTCGTTTCGGATCGAGCACAACGCTCGATCAACCGCCTCTCTTCGACCATCCTGTCCTCGATCATCACGCGCTGCTCCTCGGGAGATCCCTCCTCGTTCCTCGCCGACCGCTTCTCCGGCCTCTTCGACTCCTCGACCTTCGGCTCCTTGGCGCATCGATCGGCGTCACTCGTGCGCTCCAGGGAGGCGACCTTCGCCGAGTCCACGGACGACCTCCCGCCGCAGTTAAGCTTGTTGCGTACCTTCCTGGCGACCTGCATCAGCTCCGCCTGGAACTCTGGGCTGCTCATGCTCCTCTGCAACGTGTTCTTCCCGTCGAGGACCCGCGAGCGCCTCTGCTCTTCGCGGCACCACCGCTCCTGCTGATGGTGGTTGTTCTGGTTGCGCCAGGCGAGTCTGTTCTCCTTGTTGTGTCCGGCGCGACCGTCTTCGCCGCCCCGCCACCTCCGATCGTGTTCTGGACCATTGATGTTTTCGCAACGTTCCACGTTCGCTTGCGAAGACAACGCGGACGAAGAGAGCCAGTTGACCTGCGCCCTCTTCGTTTCTGCACGCGTCTTGAAGAGACGCGACCGCCTTGGCGGCTGCGGCTGGACCTCCTCGTCGCGGCAGCCACCTGGCCGATCCTGACTGGATTCCGTGTATCTGTCAGGTGAGACTCTTACATCGGGACGCGGTATCGACGCCGCGCGTCGGTCAATCGACAAGATAGAATAGAAGTACAAGTTTTGTACGTACATATAACGAACAGAAATATCCAGAATAAAAAAAAGATAGAAAAATTTCGCTATGTTTTCATATAAAATTAAGGAATACAAGAAAGTGTGTCAAAGCACGAAGGTCAGCTAAAAAGTTCAGTTCGATCTTTTTGCGAAGATAACTAATAAGAAATAGAACTAATAAATAGAAAAAATGGGGTAATAACATAAAGGCAGAAGAAAAAGAGAAACGAGAAGATAAATAATTAAAAAATTATTCACATCATAACGGAAATCGGGATACTTCGAAGATGTGGCTATTTAATTAAAGGAGTTCGTCATAGTGGAAAACCCATTAGATTGTGAACGACTAAAATGAAAATTAAATTGAAATCAAGTCAAAATTTCCACATGATGTTCTCTTGCTGTACTGTACTGCATGATTATGCAACGTCATTAGAGCCGGACTTTTTAACTGACTTAACTACTTCGACTTGTCTCGAGAAGCGTGGGCGGTATCATTTACTATCGCCGGAGTCTCTCTACCTGTAGGAGTCCGGAGATGAGCCGTCCACGAGGCCGTTCGACGGCGGCGCCGGCGCCTTGTACTTCTTCTTGCCCTTGTAGCGGCTCTCCCGCTCCCTAGAGTCCCTCTCGGGATAATGTCCGCTTCCGCAGTGCCGGTGCTGTTCCATCGCGTGCTGCTTCCCGTTGCAGCGCGCCTCTCGCTCCATGGGCGAGTACCGCAGATCAGGCTCGCTGCCGAACCTCTTGAGCTCTTGCATCTCGTTCTCCATGCAACACGACTCGTTCCGGTGATGGCAGCAACGGTGCTGTTCGAGCCTGCGGCCGCGCGACGCGCCGATGTTGGACGCCGAGGTGCTGCGACTGCGGAATATTCCCTGCTGACAGGCGAAAGGACACGCTCTGAGGATAATGGAGTGCTCCATGGGAAAGAGCGCTGCATCCCGATAACGCGGCGTTCTCGCGACCGTAGAGTTCTGTATCGTCCGCAACGAATTTTCCCCAACCAAAAGCAGAATCTTGAGCAAACTGTTTCTCTATCGTGCTTAATTGTATGAATTTTCTCCATCTTAAGGTCTTTAAACATCTTTCTCAATTAGGCAATCCTTTTAAGTATTCTTACAATTGCGACTGGCGTATCGTCCGCAATTAGAAGTGAAAACTACATCAAATTGTTTTATCCCTGTCTCTGTCGCATTTAATATATGAATTTTTTTCTCAACGTCTTTAATAATCTTCTGACGTCTTAGAAAACCGTTCTAAATGCCTTTTCTGCACCTCGAGCACAAGTAACAAGTATTTATACCTGACTTTCATAAGAAAAATTCATTAGTGAATGTACCGTGTTAATCGGAACAACGCGCGCGTAACGGGTTAAAGACACTTATTCTCTGGGCGGTTACGTAAATCCGGTAAGTGGATGAAGTGTGTTACATTTATTCCTAGGAACATTGTTGATTTGCAAAGCGTGCGCACGGCTTGCCCCCGACGCACATAATAAATATCACGGAACACGGACTACCGTGACAAAGCGAGCGGATGAGAAACCGGGGTCTTTGTGCGATCGGGTGCACAAAGCGCTCGATGAAGGCCGCGTGATACATTTTGTGAATTTGCGGTAAAAAGTCCTCCTATGGAATACTCTCTTAACCGGGTTACTACGAAACGCATTGGCGCCCGCCCAAAAGACACGCGCGAATTCTGTACGCGCATTATCCGCGCGAGAATTCCAAATGACGAAGAACGCGACTCTCATGCACACATCGAACGAGGTCTTTTCCGGCCACGAAACAAGAATATCAAACCGGGACAGATCGAGATAAAAAGATACTGTCAATAATTATTCTGAGACTCTTAGGTTTCCAGCCGCGAAAAGAACTACCAGACCGGTGAGAATCAATGTTGGGCTGATCGTTGCAAGTATTTTATCTTTAGCGGAATTCTTTTATAAATAGCCTATCCTTCTACGAAGATTGTTTTAAAAACAAGAAGAAAATATTCTAAGCACAAAATTATTGAAATTAAAGAAATTTTATCTTTTATCTACAAGTCCTATTTTTTAATAGAAATTCCCTTTAGTAAGAGGAATCCCCTTTAGTAAGAGGAAATTCCTTTTAGTAAGATGCATTCTGCATCACACATATATATTCCTCTTGGTATATTGCCCTTTTAGTTTCTTAACCTTTAGACTGCCGGGAAAGGCACTTTTGTGATTCTTGAATTCGGGTTAAAATACTACTATTTTTAGTGGTATTTTAAATACTAAATGTATTAAACATATATGTGTGTATGTAGCCTACACAATGCGTGTTTCTCCAGTGCCCACTTTGTGTTTGTTCGCACTTACGTCGCCGAAACATATGCACTAATTGTAATGCTCCATTATGCATAACGCCCTGCTTTGAAAATTATCATTCGAAAAAATTTTATCATAATTACGGAAAAAAGTCAACATAAAAAAAACCACAAAATGTATAAAAAATATAAATATTGAAAAATATTAAAAAAATAAAAATCAAATAAAAATATAAAAAATAAAAAAATTATAAACAAGCAAAAAAGTAAAAAAATACAAAAATTAAACATTAAAAAACAAAACAAAAAAGACTGCATGAATCTATATGTTTATATTTATTTATATTGTCAATGTTGTACTTAGGGCTCGGAATTTCATAATTCTATGCTCAGAATTGGAATCAGCGATACCAAAAACTTCCAAATACATTATTTTTGAGAAAATAAAAATTTTTTATATTTGATCGTGCGTTCCCTGCCGTGAAAGCCACTTTTGTAGCTCTGCACAAATCTCAAAATTTTGCGCAATATGTATGTTACTTACATAGAAAAATTTTTGAGAAAAAAAAACTACTTTTTTAATGAAAAAATGTCGGCAGCCTAAAGGTTAAAAGAATCCTCCTTCGCTCGTTGCGAGGCACATTACGGTTGCGATCGTCACCGCGTCGGCGATAACATCGAGAATTCGCACTGAGCGAAATTTCCGCGCATTTCGGCCGCAGGCAAGTGCAGCGGAACGAGCGGCGCTCGTTCGCGCGCTTCTCGCGCTCTCGGCTTGGCACGCCACATCATCAGCGCGACTCGAAAAGCCGCCGCCGCGAATCCTTACCTTATTAAGGTCGTGCGGAAGCGTGAGGGCCGGCGGCCTGCGGCCGCTTATGGTTCCCCCGTTGTGAATGATGCTTCCATTATTGGTGGCGCGCAGCCGCTGATTGGGCGGCTCCGGCAGGACCTTGTGTCCCGACTGCTGAGGATGATGCCTAGCCAGCTCCCGGGGGAACGACTGTGTCCACCCGCGTCCAATCTCGTGCGACGGCCCGTTGGACGCGCAATATTGATGGGAGCTGCTGCTGTTGTTGCCCATTTCTATGCCGACCTGGCGTCTCTATGGTGTGCACGATTCGCCATTCATCTTGCATCTGGAAGGGATCAGAAAAGAGGGACCAATTATCTAACGTGTTCGCCTGAGACCGCGTCCGAGGATACGGCGAGATCTAATTGGATCCGGCAGGCAGCCTTGAACGCGCGACCAGAGTCGTGATTTTTTGGGAAGCGACGGCAAATCGCGTCAAGTGCAGCTAAGCGATAATCGAAATCGGCTTGAAGAGCATTGTTGGAAGAGAAGAATAAAACGAGGATCGCGAGTGACACGGGAACTGTTCTTAACAACGTGTTTTCTGCTTGTGCAAAGTGAAAAGCAGACGAGATGAAATGTAAAAAAGAAACATAGAATGCATTATATGCGAAGAAAATATAGTAATAAAATTTAAATTGAAAATATATTCGTCTTTAGAATATATCTTATAAACCTGGAACAAAACCTATACTGTACACTAAGAAAAAATGTTTATAACTATAATTACGTAATGAAATAATTATTATAAATTATAATCAAAAAATTACTTTTTTATTAAATTCAACTACAATGTTAGTGATAATAACCTTGTTTACATGTTACTACTACCATTTTCGAATTAGAACAACTCAAAGATATTGACGCCAAAACCAACTATAATTTTAGTTAGATTAGCTATTTTTTCATTTTGTATGAAATTGTGTGTAGTATATATATAGAAAATTCTTATAAAAACAGTAAATTGACGATCTATCAAATATAAGTTATAGAAATTATTCAAGCAATTAAAATAATTTTGTAGCAAAGTGTCAAATGTGTGTAACACATACACACACACATACATTTTTTAACAAATATATAATTTTGCGGTAATAGTCTTGTGTGTGGTCCAAGATTACAAAAATTTGTAATTTTTACTACAACATTTCCTCCGTATATATAATGTTAGGGATACCAGCATTAAATACCCAAAAGAATGATCGGGGTGGATAGGGAGCCAATTAAGACGGTCAGTCTGCAAACCTGTTCTAATTTCCCTTAAATCGCCCGCATAAAAAATACTCTCGTATATTAATTTACTGGCGCTTTGCATGAAACGATTAAGGGGCTATAATTAAACGTTAATGAGAGGGATCAATTTGCAAACACGTCGCCGAGCTTAAATCCCTCCCCGATAAGATTACCTTTGCATAATAACTCGCGGTCGCATTAGCCCTCGATACATATAATTAATATTTTCTCCGCGATCGGCACATTTTACGGGCCAGCGCCATGCGCGTGCATCTCATTAGTGAAGAATTATTCGGCTGAATGTGAATTCTGAGGAGCCGCCCGGCTCCCTTATTCGCACGCTCGCTACCGATGTCACGATCAAAGGATGCTCCACTAACGAGTCTTAATTCGCGATTCGACACGCATCGAGTCGCTCCGCGATTCACTCTCTCGTGGAAAACACAATTATCACACATGCACACATACACACACACACGCGCGTACAACGCATGGATCAACGACGTGCGCCTCATTCACGATGCGCTTTAGCGAGTCGCGCTCGTTAATAAAATTGAAAAGAAAAAAAGATACCGTTGCCCAATAACTCTCCAACACTTTGTGCCGAGCGAAGGACGACGGTTCGCGAGGCCATTGATAAACTACGTGGACTGCGGGCCTCCGAGGAGCAGAGGGATGGAAAAAGAGTAGGGTAAACGTACGCGCGCTGGCCGAACGATCCGGGCAGGCCGGTTATCTTACAGTTAGACGTGGCTTAACCTCGTGTCAGTCGTGTCAGGACGCGGCGAGAGGAAGAGAGAGAGAAACAGAGAGAAAGACAGAGAGAAAGAAGGAGAGGGGGGGAGAGAGAGGAATGGTTCGAGATGCGTCTTTCTAAAGTAAGTTCTTCCCCATTCACCGGTACAGGAGCAGGTGCCCAACCTGCACACGCGACCCGTCGATCGAGCGACCGGTAGTACCGCTAACCTGGGATGAGTAAGAGCAGCGCGAAAAGCGCCGAAGAAAAGTCGGGACGACGAGTCGTTAAGGTAAACGACGCAAAACGAGTAAGGCGGCTCTTATTAATGTATCTAGCATTCAACGGTATAGAGAAGCGATAGCGTGGAAAACTGGTTTCCCTGCGTGTATCTACCTACCCCCTCTCCTTCTCTCTCTCTCTCTCTCTCTCTCTCTCTCTCTCTCTCTCTCTCTCTCTCTCTCTCTCTC